TCTCACCCACACACACACAATGAACCACGCTAAACATCCCAATCCCCAACCAACCACCTGAATGCGATCACTTCAAACCTGCGGTCACCACGGAGCCCGAATATCCCAGCCCCCTCCCCACACACCCTATCCAAACCCCTCAACCCTTCACCCCGGCCTCCACACACACATCCACCCCCTCCCACACACCCCTACACAATCCCCAACATGATCCCCCTCACAACCCCTCACACTCACAAAGGGTCGGAACACCATCATTCCCCGCCATCTAGGTGGGTTCACCTTAAACCTCTCGTCATCTCCAACCTCCCTTATCCTTATCCCTCGCTTCTTCCCGACACCCCAACATCTCTACCCTCTACCCCTCCACACTAAATCACCCACACAACCCCCACACAATCACCCGCACAATCAACCACACAACCACACTAACCATCCTAATCCCCAACCAACCATCTAGGTGTTATCACTTCAAACCTGTGGTCACCACGGAGCCCCTCTATATCCCATCCCTCATCGCGCCATCCTTCCCCGCTCTATACACCCACACAATCCCCTACACAGCCCCTCACACTCACCACAAGTCGGAACACCACCATTCCCAGCCATCTAGGTGCAGTCACTTCAAACCTCAGGTCAGCTTGCACTAGGTTCTCAAACATCTGGGCCAGTTCCACACCCTGGGACGGATTGAAATGATTGGAATGATTGAAATGATTGGAATGATTAAAGAGATCGTTGTGATTGAAATGATTATGATGATTGTTATGATATGAATAAATTATATGATTAAAATGCTTGTAAAAATGATTGTAAAGATCACTACAATAAGTGTGATAATTGAAATAATCAAAACGAATATAGAAAGTGATTATTTTGATGATTGCGATGATGGAAATAATTGTGGGGATTAAATTACTGCGATGATTGAAATGAGTGTGGTTATTGTAAATATTGCGATTTTTCAAATTTTCGAGGTTATACGATTTGTGAAGCAACGTGGTGAAATCAGGCGCTCGTCAAATAAAACAATAACATCGAAGAGACTGGCATTTTTCCGCTGGTTTGGAAATTTTTGTCGAATTTTTTGTTTTTGGCTCAACTCTTGAAAAGGCCATTAATTTAATAACACATTTCTCTTTGGATTTTACTGAAAACTGTTGATTACCGACCCTATCCGTACGTCGTGTTTTACTATCGTATCCTTGCGACGTGGGGAACTCTATGCTACCACTTTCCAAAGAGGTAATTTCGTACGTTTTGCATAGCAGTCTGTCAAAATCATTTTTAAAAAGAAATATGGACAGTTTCAATTAGATTTTCGTACTAGAAGTATTCTAAAATGTGAAGAATACAACCCTGGGGGGTACAAAATTACCCGTGGGCGTACGGATAGGGTTAACTCTTTAAACCCCATCTGACGCTGGGAGCGTCCAGTACTAGTGACAATTGTTTCGTTTTATTAAGTGCTAGTTTTTGCTTGTTTTTCGGAACTATTCCCGAGCCAAGTCCTTTAGTAAAGACTAAATATGTGTTTCCATCATTTAGAAGTTGGAGGCAAGCTTATGGGGTTATAATGAGACACTGTGCCCAAGGTTTAGATGATCGTAGAAAAAACTCCTGGAAACGGTGGAAAAAACTCAAGGTTTAAAGAGTTAAAGCACACATTTTGAAAAACCTACTTACCCGTCTAATGTGTCGCTGTAGACCTGAGACTCCAAATGATCTCAGGACAAACCAGAGCTTGAGGGCACGGAATCTACGGCTTAGGGCTATCTGCCAGTGCTGTGGGGTGGAGGGAGAACTGGGGTTAAGGGAGGGAGAGAAGGAGAGAGAGAGAGAGAAGGAGAGAGAGAGAGAGAGAGAGAGAGAGAGAGAGAGAGAGAGAGGGGAGGAGAGAG